CTGCCATGCACATTCCTAAACACCATCCATATTTGCCGTAGTTCTATTACGAACGCACTGAGAGATCTTAGAACGAAATATAGGGGACATTTCGTCATAAATATACCTATATGCAAAAAGTTCAAGCTCATTTCGCAATATTTAGCGAAAGCAAAAAAAGGAAAACTTTTGAACTACCTGCTCTGTAAACTGTTTCGCTCGCATATGTTTCTTCAGAAGCTTCAATAGTTTACTTTTGACGACAACTTCATCCTGAATATATAAGTGTGGTAGAAGATTCTACATTGACCACTCAGTTACTCCCACCTGAGCACTTTATAAATAAATAAATAAATTCAGGCTTTTCACTCAATCTAGACAATGGACACAAGAAGATCGACTTCGATTACTGTGTGATCTCAAAACACAGGAAATCCGGGATTTTGGACTTACGGGGCAGCGGCGCGATTTCAAGTTTTCTATTTACGGTCTCGATACGAGCGCATATCTTTCTCGATGGAGAGCACTGCTGCTGAGAGAAGCCAAACACGGCCAACGCTGAGGAAATCGGAAAGGGCAGGCTGACCTAGACCTTAGAACACATTTTCTTGCTTTCCGCCGCTAATTATTCGCCCGAAGTTGGTAAGCTTAGTCAAAGAGTCGGCGATCATTGGTTGATGAAAACTCGTAACCCAAAGTTTTGCCTGAATACTGCCTTTAATCTTTATAAAATTACAACCATCATATTTTTCAAAAGCGTAGGAAAGCCTCTTAGCTAAAGATAATGAGATGCTGCTACGCACTTATTCTACGAAAGCATCTTTTTCATGAAAAACTCACTACCGCATCTGCAGTTCTAGTGAGACTACTTTATAAACATACTATCTTTTGAAAAGGATGAGTAAACAAAGGCTTGTCATTCATTACAATGTAGACCTTAATTGTTAACATTTCTACTGTGCTACGAAACAACATAGAAAACTTAAATGGGTTGTTGAATGATTACAGGAAATTAGATAAACTATGTACCTTCACGTTTAAATACACCTCCTTTGTATTCAGTACGACAGGTGAATCAGTCTTTTGAAGGCCCCAAGTGCCAACGCAAGAAGCAGGTTCGAGGTGAAGTCGTTGGGAGAGAAATACTCGATTCGGAAGTCCTTCAATGCCTATAAGGTGACATGAGCAGACAGTCTTATACAAAGCAATTATAGTGAGTCAGTACGATTCTCAGCAAATATCAAGAAATTGTAAAGGTAATACAATTAACACTCAACCAAAAGGAATTCCATGCTTTTGGAACACTTCCTCAATCAAACTCATAGTATCGGCTGAGAACGAATCGAAATCAAAGACATTTCTTATGACAGTTGTGAGAGAATCGTGCGGGAACTTCTGCAAATACAAACGTAGTGCTTAACTGTCGTCCAGGCATGAGAACTCACATTGATGTGCTTTACAATGTTAACAAGCTCCCTTGTAGAGTAAGGGTACTGCAAGATTCCATCGCTAACCATTTCCCGCAGTTCCGTGAACGCAGTCATCAACTTTAGAAGAATGGCGTTTTCAACATCTGAAAATCTGAAGATGAATTTGGAAAACTATATTCCTCATTGCTCGAAGTATGAAAACTGAAGAAAAGTTGTG